GGGGGGGGGGGGGGGGTAAGGGGTAGGACAAAGGAAAGACAATATAATGTCTTCATTAGGAAGAAAGGCAGGGACCACTTTTGGCAAAAAGCTAGTATGGGGTCTTAAAACAACCTTATCTTGGTATAGAATCAATGTGGTTCCCTACAAGACAGGGCAGACAGTTGCGAGGCTTGTCTAGCAGAAGTAATGATTACAAGGAAAGCAACCTTTTTACACAAAATGTATGAAGAAATATCACAAATAGGCTCAAGAGATGGTCTTTGTAAAACTGAGACCAAGCTCAGATTCCAAGGATGTAATGGAGATGGAACAGGAGCCACATGGGCAACCCCCTGAATAAAGGTGCGAATTATAGAATTAGTAGCCAGAGGTTGTTGAAAAAGAACAGGTAAGGCAAATATCTGACCCTTTATGGCACTGAAAGCCAAACTATGGTCTACCCACAATGTAGGAAAGGAAAAACCCAAACGATAAAAAAAAAACAAGCAGGGAAAAACCCAGAGAGTCACAACATCGTAAAAGAAAATTCTTACATGTACAATAGTAGATTCAAGGTGAAGGAGATTTACAAGCCTTAAGCAAAGTGATAACAACAGAGTCAGCAATACCTCTGTCCTTTAGCACTTGGGTTTCAACATTCAGGCCACTAAAGCCAGCGACCGAGAAGCACGGTGGAAGATGGGTCCCTGAGATAATAAATCTGATTGATCCATAAGAGGCCAGGGGATCGACCAACAGATGAACCAGGTTGGCGTACCACACTCTGCAAGGCCAGACTGGAGTGATGAGAATGATCGGAATAACCTGAATACCCTCGTTTTCGATTCACAGCAGACTAGGTAACAACTACAGAGGAGGAAAGGCATAGATCAGGGTGTATTATTCCCACAGAGCCATGAATGCATCCCTCGATCTGAATACATATCTGTCCACCTTCCTGTTGAACCAAGATACCAAAAAGTCCACATCCAGCGTTCCCCAGAGCTGACAAATTTTCTGAAAACACGTCCTGATGGAGAGACCACTCGCCCGGATTCATATGTTGTCTGCTGAGGAAGTCTGCCTGCCAGTCCTCTACTCTCGGAATGTGCACTGCAGAAATTGATTGGACATGAAGTGCCTCACAGAACAGTACAAGGTGCACTTCCTTGGCTGCTGAAAAGCTCCTGGAGTCCCCTTGATGACTGATGTAAGCCAAAGCCATGGCATTTCCAGATTTGATCCAAACTAGAAGACCTGAGGGGGGTCCAATAAGACAACATCAGATGAATTGCCTGCAGCTCCAGGATGTTTATAAGCCACTTGGAATCCTCGTGAAACCAGAAACCCTGAACTGAACAGATGGTCCAAAATTCCTCCACAACCCAAGAGACTGGTGTCCATTGTGACAACCTTCCAATGACAAGAAAGAAAGCATTTCCCTTGAGTCAAGGTGGGAGAAATCAGCCACCAGGATAGAGATATCCTGGTTCAGGAACTCAACCTGATCATCTTCATCAGAGAGAGATTGGACTTGTCCCACAATGTGAGAATGCTTTGTTGAAGAATCCTGGAGTGAAATTGAGCAAACAGAACTGCTTGAAAGGAGGATACCAGGGATGCACCCATACCATTTTTTCCAGGCCGAGTATGAGTACCGATACTTTTCCTCAAGTATTTACCAATACCCCTGGCACCACTGGCGGTCCTAACAATCAATTACATCAAATGTGTTCCCCACCCCCCAGAATTACAGAAGGACGGAAGAATATAAGGGGGCACTCTAATGGGGACATTATCAAAGCCATATGTGACATGCTGTGCCAGGAATCTCAGCCAGAGGGGCTGAGAGGTTTCAGGAAGCAAATGCTTTTACAGGGAAAGAGCTGGTTTTTCAGTTCTTTCCAGAATTTTATTTTATGTTACTCGGGATCCTGGAATCGGGAGGATTGAAAGAGATTTGGAAGGGATGAGATTTCCATTCATGGGTCAATGTTTTAGTGTTGGCCAGCACCTATTGATTGCACAGGTGTGCATAGCCATTAAGATAAAGATGATGGTAAGTGTTTAGGGCAGGTTCTGGACCAGATCTGGAACGCAATGCATTGTGTTTTGCCATGTTTTTACAACGATTTAGCCGCATTCTGGAGCTGTTTTTTTTAGCTTAAAATGGGCTTTCATGTGCGTTCCAGTGCGTTTTTGATGTGTTTCCATGCGTTCCAGACCAGACAAAATTAGACATGCAGTATATTTCTGGTCTGTTCTGGAACAGACTGCACTGGTGCGAACAGAGGCCATAAATATCATAGGGATACATTTTGAGTCCGGAAACATTCTGGTCTGGAGATGATGTGGTGTGAATGGGCCCTTAACCTGGGAGACAAAGGAAGTCTCAACCCAGGAGTCAGTCTCAACCCAGGCCAGAGGAGCAGGGAGCTGCCAGTTGTGTACTGTGTGTACAGGCTAGCATGGTGTTGGAGTACTGTCTGAAGTAGGGACAGACAAGAGCCTGAAGACTAAGGTCAAAACAGCCAGATGTTGAAAGTGGAAGCCAGGAGGCTGATTTTCTGTTTATTTGGCAAGTAATGCATGGGTGTTATGTTGAAAAAACCCTGTGTGGAAAACCTATGTGGATTTGTGAACTATCTTTTAAAAAAAGTTGTCAAAGAGCCTTTAAAAGAAGATATTTGCAAGTGGAAGTTTTCTTAATGCTTTAAATTATATGTGTGATAACTCGCATCAAATGGTACTGTTTCTTTTAGCAAACAATAAAATTTAAATTGAGCAGAATTAAGTTCAGTCTATTGGTTCGGCCCCCCACAACAGTCCTAGTTTCTCATGTGGCCCCTTGAGAATATGAATTGCCACCCGTCTTAGAGGAAAGCCCAAATGTCCTAAGTTAAGTTATGGGCTGTTGTTATCTTCCAACAAAAACGTAAAACATTTCAGCTTTCCATTCCTTAGATGTTGTGGCTGCATTGGTTTTAATTTTTCAAGCTAAGAACATTTTCAATATGTACAGACAATATTGGTTAATCTTGGCAAAAATACAGTATCCTTGTCACTCCCTCTCAGCAGAAATGGCAGCAAAAGCAATCTGATCTTTTGTGAACTAATATTCCCATCAAGATGTAATGGAGATGAACAAAGTCAAATATGTTTGAAGTCTAGCCTGTGTGACAACCAGGAGAAATTAGCATAGCCACAAAGGGACAGCAAATGTGTTATCTGAAGGTTAGGTTAGGCAAATAAATAGGGAAGAAATGTTGTGGGGGAAAAAAGAAAAACTTTATATATAAGAAATTTAACAGAGTATTTCTGTTACTAATAACATTTTGTTATTTGTGTAATCTGTCATAACTAATTTAGTTTGGGGTTTATAAGACAAGTTAGAACTTCTGTCAGGATTTTATTTCTGCATCCATGTTAAAGATATTACCTTTCACTTCCTGTCCCAACAACCACACAGAGAGTTAGGGGGAATGTCACCAGCGTTATAGCAATAAATACCTAACAAAGAACCTAGACCTTATCCGTGCTGCCAAAAAAATGTTTTTGTTGCTGTTTGGGTCTTTGCTGCAGTTATTTCCTCTTGTGTCTTGCTCTGTTGACAAACAGGAAGTGAAAGGAAATCACACTAGTGGGGAAAAAGACAGGTATAAAATACTGGCAGAGGCTCTGAACCTTGTCTACTCTGCCAAAAACAAAACAAAAAGTGTTAGCTGAAGCATCACTTAAGCACCTAAATATAACAAAAATAGCAAATTCTTTCAAAAATGAATGACCAAACACTACATATGTATGTCATTCAAAATATATAGTTTCATTATAATTATAATGAAATATTGATTTTCAGATTCAAACCAGTTAAATAAGCAATAACCTTGATCCATTTGGGAAAAACTAGACTTACATAAAACCACTGTAAAGCTGTTTAAACAAAAGCAAAGAAATACAAGGAACATTATTTAATTTCTTAGACCTCATGAAGGCTATGCAAGAGTACCTGTCAAGGTAATGGGACCACCTGCTTTCCTGTAAAAATACAGTTTTATTGCTGCAAATAAAGAAATCCACCTATTCACACGGTTAATGGCTACACAGAACAGAACACAATTTATGGGCAATGTTACATGTACACATACACAGGCACACACAAAGCACTATACATGGAACAGATGGTTAAAACTTACAGCCACGAATATTGGTGGAGAAATCATTAACAGAGACAGGAGAAAGTGGGAAGGCTCGTTCATGGGTCCCCATGTTACTACGTAAAGTGCCTGACATGCAAGAGCAGTCTATTTCAGAGCACCCCAAACAACATGCCTGCATCAGCCTCTTTCGGATGGACATCTTGGCTAAAATCATGGTCACAATGAAAGGGAGAGGAAGAGTGGAAGATTAATGCAGGGTACAGAAAGAAAGACAGACACTTATATATATGTATATATATATATATTTTCATGTATATATAGTTTGACACAAGATGCAGCTCAATGCAGTTATGAACAGCACGATATTTTGACTATTCAAGACAAGGGGCATTCATTTGCCAGGGTAAGATTACAAATGCAGCTTTGAGAAGACGGCATGTTTAGGAAAAGCAGTAATTAGTTTGGGTGAAGGGGAACGGTAAAGGACAGAACTGGTTTATGAAAGGTTGGCCACCAGGTCTGCACAATGGGTTTTGGAAGTATGACAGGCCACTATTGTTACCAGAATGGCTCTACATTGATTTCAGTGTTCAGTGCATATTATTTGTTCCTTTTCTTGTTTTGGTAGTAGTCAATTTTTATATTTTGTATATGCTAAGGAGAGGGGCATAACATAGCCTTTAAGTCAGAAATTCAACCAACATGAAAATAATATAAATTGCCATTATGAATATGCATACATAAATATTTCAGCAATAAGTATCAGTTTGGATTTACATATATAAAAACAACAATGCAACATATTTTGCTGTTCACTACAGACTTTGGATAAGTGAAATTCCATGCTTCATTAAGGCAGATATGTCCTCAGTGGCTGGCATTTCTAAGAGGCCTGCAGAAGGTTTGACCTCACAGGGTATGAAATGGAAATGAAATCTGCACCTATTTTCAAACAAGTGTATTCATGCAAGTTTTAAGGAATGACTGGTCTTCATTAGTACAGATATAGATGTACAGAAAAGCTGAGCTGCACACCTTACCAAATACATTTAAAATAGAAATATATCCAAAAAAAAGGCAGCATGCAGCAAGTTCTCATGCATGCCATACAGTTACATTACTTTTAAAATGTCAAATTCACATGCACTTTTTAGCAAAAGGTCAATATGTAAGAGTATCTCCAGTCTCATCACTATGGGGTTACTGAAGCATTCTGTAGTAGAGAAGATGTGGGAAGTTACACACACACACATTTTTTGGAACACTCCCACTTTTCCAATTTTTATTAAAATTTACTCAGTTTAGTGCATCAATGTACCCTAAGGGTCTGTTCACACCAGCAAGCCATGCTAAACGTACGGCTGCTGGTGTGCGCTGGCAGAAACAGTGCTGATGCACCACTCCCGGGCACGTCACACTGTTTACTTTTATTCTGTTAGAACTTTTTTTAAATGTCACAAGTGACATCATTCAGTTCAATCAGCCACAGTGGTGCAACAAAGCTGTACCATAATGCACTAAGCTACCCTGAAAAGAGTACTGCATGCAGTGATGTATTCTGGTTTGGGGCTGCCCTAGGACAAAACTCAGATGCTCCCCCCACTCTGCAGGGTCTCAGGGGGGCTGTGCAGGATCTGTGGTGGGCTCTACAGGGTCTCATGTGGGCTGTGAAGGATCTCTGGTGGGCACTGCAGGTCTTGGGGCTGTGCAGGATCTGTGGTGGGCTTTGCAAGCTGCAGAGACCACCATAGATCCTGCACATCCCCCTAAAACCCTGTGGAGCCCACCATAGATCCTGCAAAGCCCACCATAGATCCTGCAGAGCCCCCCTGAGAACCTGCGGAACCCACCATAGACCCCCACCACAGATCCTGCACAGCCCCCCGAGACCCTGCGGAGCCCACCATAGACCCCACCACAGCTCCTGCAGAGCCCACCTAAGACTTTCAGGTGGGCTGTGCAGAATCTATGCTGGGCTCTGCACGGTCCTTTTAACAGCAGTGTGATCCACTTACCCAGAGGCGGCTCTAGACTTTGCTCTAGACTGAGGCCTTATTCGAAAATTAAACATGAGGCCTCAATCACAACTATAATGGAACATTGATGGCTGTGTGGGGTTTTAGGAGGCTGTGTTTTTAATTTTTTTAAACTTTTATAATTTTTTGTATTCTTAATTTTAGTTTATTTAACTTTATTTTTTTTTGCATTTTTACTTTTTATTGAACTTTTTAAAGCTTATTTTAGTTTTTATCTTTATTGTTTTAAACTTTTTTATTTTTTTTATTTTTACTTTTTATTTATTTAACTTTTTTTAAAATTTTCGTTTATTTAACTTAATTTTTTTAAATTTTATTGCTGGGAGCAATAGCCAGCCTGCTATTGGATATTTCAAATTGCAATAGCCAATAACAGGCTAGCTATTGCACCAGCCCACTGCCTGCTGTCAGCAGAGGAGGGACCTGAAGGAGAAAGTTCTCCATCAGGTCGTCTTCTGCTGATTGACAGCAGGCAGTGGGCGGGTGCAATAGCCAGCCTGTTATTGGCTACTGCAATTTAAAAGTGCCAATAACAGGCTGGCTATTGCTGCCAGAATGGGGACGATCGCACGGCTGTCAGCAGGAGCGGAGGGGTGAGTAGACAGCATGGGGGACATAAACTCACAGACTGTCAGAGGTCTCTCCTTACAGGCTGTAATCAGCTGTCTGTCCCTTCTGACACAGATTGCAGATCACACAGATCACTGTAGCCGATTACTGCCTGTAGGGAGAAACCGCTGAGAGACAGCCTGTTAGTCTGCAGCGGGGAGAGTTGTCTGCAGGGACGGTGCTACCATTTCTCCCCCCCCCCCCCAAGCATGCAACGCAGCCGCCGAACATCTCACGATGAGATGTTCGGCGGCTGCGATGCACACTTGGATGCGACAGGGTTCCTAATGCTGTCTGCGGACAGCAGCGTTAAAGGTCCCCTGTAACGTCAAAAATTGACTGTCTTGTTAGATTAGGCAGCCAAAGCTGCCAAATTCTGTGCAGCCCAGCTCGCCTGTTTTGGGGGCGGAATTCTTGCCGCCCCCCTGGAAAGTGCCGCCCTAGGTAAACGCCTCGTTTGCCTTGCAGCAGATACGCCCCTGACTGCATGCAATACTTTTTTCAGTAAACTCTACCACAGCACAGTGGTGTGAACTGGGCTTATTGTAAACAAGGCAATTTGTCTTTTATTTGCATTAGGATTGCCTTGGAAAAAGCCTCCAGTGCAGCCCCAATGCATCTGGTGCGAACAATATAGAACAAACGTAGAACAAAACAATTAGGGATAAAAAGAAATCATGAAATAATTTAACAAAATTGTAGCTAAATTTCTGACATCAACATAGCCACCTTTTCCAGATCTAAGAGCTTGTGGCATTTTTTCAACAATGGAAATAATTGTTTTGCTTTCATACTTTAGTACAGGTTCATGCAAAACTGGCTCAATGGGGTTTAAGTCTTGAGATTTTGCTGGATATGCCATAATTCAAAGCCTACTATCTTCTTGTCTTTTAAGTTAGCTCACACAAAGCCAGGAGGTATGTGTTGTGTCATTAGCTAGCTGCAGGATAAACACCTGCCCAACTAGAAGTAGATTAGGAGATACTGCATGGTGCTGCTGAGCATTGTGTTGGGCCTTTTGGTTTATGGTACCAGTTATTCTGTGCAAGCTGTTAGTTCTTAGAAATTATCTTCTGATTCTGTTGAGCCTTTGGGTCTATCAGACCCATTTCTGTCAAACCTTTTCTATAGCTTCAAGTGCCATTTGATGGTGTAGGAAACTGGACTCACTGATACCTTAGCTTTCTATGCACTTCCTCTTAAGAAAAGACCTAAACTTTTAAGGGTTAAAAAAACTCTGAAACACATTTTATCATATTATTTATATAATTATTTTTCTGTATTTGGTAACCTAAACCCTTTTTTCTAACCTCTGGCAGTTTATCACTGCTTCTATTAATTTATATTTTCAACAGTATTTTAACTGCTTAAATTCAATGAAAACTGAAAAAATAGTGGTCTTCTTAATATATATAGATATAGATATAGACATAGATATATCTATATCTATATATATTGTACATACACACACACACATTCTAGATCCAAGTGGTCACACTAACAATTTTTCTAACATGTCACTGATGCCATTTGTAAACACCTTTTTATCTTTTTATATTCAGTTCCAGGTGATACTGTACACTATACACTGTAGGCTAAGCTATGAGGCAGATGTCAGATCTCTTAAAGTAAAGTTGTCCCTTCCAAGTGATAAAATAACTGTAAAAGCATTACCACTTTTGTCTGATACAGAGAACAACAATGGTGTGCATAGCAGTAACCAGTAACAATATTTCATTAATTTAGGGTCGTGTTTCTCGACATTGTTATATTTTGCAAACCGTTATTATAGCATACATTACCAAGCATCCCCCTTTTGTGATATTATCCCCTAAATTTTATTAATTCTATCTAAGCAATAGCTATAATCTTTTGAAATATCAAAAACCAGTCCATTAGCCAATCTATTTGTATAAATTTCTCCCTTAACAAACTGGTAAAATTCCATTACTATAATTAACTGGCCCACCAGAAGTGCCCCTTGAACAGAAATACCCCTATGGATGCAGTGAAATAAAAGTGCTGACTGGACTGGTTTTATAGGTTACTGTTTTCCTTTAATGGGCTCGCTAATTTTCTCAGTGGGGGATTAGACAAGGTAACAAGTAAAATGCAGACACCAAGAAAATAAAATTTCAATAAACTGAAATCAGTTTAACTCACATCATCAAATGAATGAATATTATCTCTAGAAAGATTGGGTAAAAAGGCTGGAGATACTCAGTACAAATGTGGGATTGGAATGGAAACACAAAGTTTGAAAAAAGGCCTTCACTGACATCAAAGGTACTAAAACAACAACAGCAATAGATTGTTTTATTTTTAATTATAGATGGGCCCAATAGTCCGCAGATTCTACTTGTACTGTGATGACAATGAAGGACTAAGCACCACCCAGCATTCCCACAATTGTGCAGCTATAGAAAGGTTTTGTAATGCAAAAACCATTTTAGTGACGCCAAGTACAGAAGCACACACATACGCACTAACAATATAGAGGCACCCACCCTTACAGGGACATTGAAAACATTACTACACTGACATCACAATTGCGCAGAGTCTTCATGTAAGACATCGGAAATAGCTTAATTTAAAGCTGGAGTTGCTTAATAAATCACACTACTCAGAAATAAAAGGACAAAAGCAGATAAAGGTACATTGTCCTCCAATGGAAACACAGATTACAGAGTAACAAAATTATAGGTCACGTAATCACAGAACACAAACACAAAAAGCAGCAAATAGGACGCCGGTCACAGAGATGTCACATTGTCACTGCTGGCCTCAGAAATGCCTCTTGGCTGCATTATGCTGCATTATTACTAACCCTCTTTTGCTGACAGTTGTCACTGTTTCACATGCTAATGTTTAGCCTTACAAAAGTATGTATTATTATGAGTACATAAATATAACCACATAAGACTATCATCATACCTCTTCGGTTTCAATATAGTACATTTTATATGCATTTTGTGTGCATATTACATGACATTTTGTTTATCCCTATGAAAGATGTGGTAACTGGAAACCACACCAAAGATGCAGCAAGGATTTTGATGCATCACACTAAAAAGCATAGGAATGAATGCATCCTCAGATGTTTAAACATGTTATTTATCTAAAAGTCCTAATGAGTAATATACAATTTTTCTAAATCACAGCATCATTTTTTTTTCTTGTTTTTTTTAGATGTGCCAATGATCATCTCTACTTCCTCAGATAAAAAAAATGCTTCGACTTTTGGAGCACAGAAATATCCACCAGTGTTTGGATTTAAAGAAGTGTACTGCATATCATCATTATTCGCTTTTTACTGTTTAATGTGATGTATTTTCAACAATACACAACAAATGTCTGTTAACAGTGCTAAATATATTTAGTTGCAGTTGCTATTGATGTTTATTTCAGTGTATTGTCTGTTCATCCTATAATATGGTGGCATATACACATAACCAATTTTTTTATGAATATTAATTAACTATTCTGTGATATACATACAGTCATCTCCCCTGGAACACTTCTATTTTATGATCTCAAATTAGCTTGTAGCTATAAGGATGTATCTAGTATAAACTGCAGCCCTTCCAAATGAAATGCAGAAACAAGACGTAGCATATAAAGGACTGACCATGTTTTTGTGAAGAAAGCTAACCTGCCTGAACAAACGTTATTCTTTGGTTAGTGTAATGTACATGAATGTACCATTTATTGATCTTTCTCTGGGAAGAACCGCTTCAGACAGCTCATGCAACAAATTAACTATATGCTTTAAAGCAGACTTGTAGTGACAAAGTTATTGAGACTGCCATTTCTGACCTTGTTTTTTTTTTTTAAATACCGGTTCTCTGGCTGTCATCCAGTAGCTTGCAGGAATTCTGCCTTTATTGTGACTTCTTTGATCTGCATACTTGTTCAAAGTTAGCATTTCAAACTACTGAAGCTGGAGGCAGACAGGCAACTAGCATTTTCAGAAGTAGACCAGCAATCACAGACTCATTATTTTTATCAGTACAGGTTTCCTTTAACTTTCCTAGATATGAGAATAAAAGAGGGAATTCCTTTGACTGCCATGGGCCACAAGACAGTTCTTTCCTCATATAGTTTGGGCCTAATTTACAAAAGTGTTAAGTCCAGTGATGTGAGATGAAGCAATGTGAAACTGAGCCTGATTTATTACAATAGAATGAGAACTTAAAGCCTAAATCAGGACAAAATGTAAAAAAATATATGTACATCTCTGCAATACATGTACATTTTCCCATGTTTTATCCATGAACACAGTGCAAGTATAATAACTGTTGATGTGCCAGAAATAAAGTGTGCTCCTACCTTCCTGTTAGACATGACAACACAGTGTATTTTGGTTCTGAATTCCTAAGTAGTGCTAGCCCTGCCTACTTCATTTACCTGCTCCTCATCTCCATAACTCCTCCTTGTACACAGGCAGAGAGCACAGGAAGTTATCAGCTCACAAGATTTCTGGCAAAATCAGCAGACAGTTTTTGCACTTTTTGGAAAGATATAACTAAAAAATATTCCATGGTATATTTTGCAGACCAAAAGGGAGCAAATAAGAGAAGTTCATTGTTATTTTTTATCATTGTTATAGTTTACATTTACATTACTTTAGGTGAGCTTGTGTGTATTTCAAACACCCAATCCTGCGCAGGGAAATTTAAGAAGAGCTTTGTCTTGCACAGGATTAGATGTTTAAAGTTAACACAAGTTCCTGTCTTTTCACACTACACTATAATAAATAAAGTCCAGTTTCACCTAATTTCACGCCACAGTTTAATAAATCAGACCCAATAATAGAGGTCTATTATAGTTACCCTTCTCTAGCAAGGGATATGAAATCATAGTTAAGTCATGGTTTATAAACTAATGTAACAAACACACCTATAACACAATACATTAACATATAAATTAAGACACAGATCTCCAGTGAAACAAGACAATACACATATGACACGTTACATATTGACTGTATACAAATTTGTGTGTATGGACACAAAAACTGCACCTTTCTCACAGAATGACTTTGTTGGACTTAAAATACAGCAGCATGTCTAGAAAAGGATCATGTAGGTACAGCCTATGGCACATACCCCAAAGTTCAGCAGATATATAATAAGGCTGTGTATTAGTGAGATCGCTCTCTCTCTCGCTATATATATATATATATATATATA